CGCGCATCCAGCTGTGATGGTGATGCATATTGAGCTTTCAGGTGCTGGGTGGGAAGGGGAGGCTAAGATGTCTGCGGAGAATCCGGACGCTGGGGGGCAAGGAGCGGCTGGATTTCCTAAAGGAGCAGCACATACACTTCTTTCAGCGCTGCCTGCAGATCCTGCCTGATAGATACTCATCCCTGGAGACCAGCAGGTTCTGGCCGAGCTGCTCCTGCCCCCTCCTCCCTGGCCAGACACATCCCTCTCCCACTCACTGGCATCACTGTCCCGTACACTGGACCCCTCATTTTTGGCCTCACCTCAGAGCGTAGAGGGGCCCACGAAATCCACTAATCCTGGAACCCTAGAAGAGTTAATCTGGCCTGAGGCTTTGAACCTCTGTCCTCCCTGCCCTTCAGTCCCCTGGTGCTCTAGCCCCATGGGTGGGCGGGAAGTGTCTCAGTTGCTGGCCACGTGAATGAGGGTTAGAGGTTTTTGGAGGGGTTGTAGTGTGGTGGTTTTGTTGCTTTTTTTTCCCATTTGTGTGGTTCCCCAACTGATTTCTCTCCTGTGGCCCCTGACCCAAGAGAGGTTCCCCACCCCTGCCATAAATAGACATTGTTGAAGCCTTTTGTGTTGGACATATTTTACTTTATTTAAAAATGAAGCCAGGCCAGCAAGCCCCCAACTGGGGCCCAGCCCCCATCTGGCTACAACATCATAACACTCCCGCACTCCCCCTACCCTAAACCTGTGCCCTGACCCATCATACACCCAACCTCTCCGCCCTGAGTCCTCATACACTCGAACCCTAACTCCCAAAACCCCCAGCCCCGCCATAAGATTGACAGAAGACAGCCTGAATGAGTGCATGAAGCTGGATTTGACCGGTTATGATGTAAACTTCAATGTGCGACAAGATACATCTGCAGAAGTCCCATTAAATAAATTCTGTGAGTACGTTTCATTTATGCTATTAATCATTACGTCAATTATCAATAATTTGTATATTTTCAGTCATGCAAATGGGCGTTCTTCTACAGCTTTGATCACTTGTTCTGAATTTTGATGTAGTTTGGCTCTTTGGCTTGAAAAGGCTGCCGACCCCTCGCATAGACCTGTCCCAAGAGGCGCTGGTACATATGTAAATGCACATGTGTCCTTATGGGAGCCCAGTCTTGACATGTGTAACTGTCATCTCTCAGCTGGAGTTGGTGGAGCTATGACAGCTTTCTCAGCTTGTGTGTCTGGCCTGTGTGTATAGCGAATTACATTTAGATTTAGTCTGAAATGGTGAGACTGCAATTCTAAGCAGTTCTTTTCTGGTTCTATTCTTAAATGGGTAGAGTTCGGAGGCCACGTCATTGCTGAACAGAAGAATGCATCCAAACTAGAGATAATACAAGCATCTGACACAGATCTGCAAACTTGACAACTAATCCAGTAAAAAAAACAACAACCTTCTGGGTAGGGGGAGCCTTTTTGTTTTTGTAGCCTAAGGATTACACTGCAGGTTGGCATTCCAACAGTATTAACTTAATTAAGCAAGAATGTGAGGCTGCATTCCTGGATGGAGGGGAGGACTGCCAGAATTCCAGGCTGAACTGAGAGGAGCAGGGAGAGAAGAAATGGTGGTGGGAGAGCAGGCAGGGAAGGAAGGAGGTCACTTGTTCAAGCTGTTCATAAAATCCTGCAGTTGACCAAGTGTGGTTAAATGTCACATTTGCTGTTCAGACAAATGTATTCTCAATTGAATATGATTGTCTGTATTGCCCTAACCTGACCCATCTGGTTTAAGTGGTGACCACAATTATAAGTACACTGAAATTGTCTTGTGGATGTCTCAGCTTTGGGGTTTTTTTAATGCTGTGTCCAAGCTACAAGTTTTAACAATGCCTGTCTGCAGCCTAGTGGTCTCCATCCTTTTTTATGTACAAGATCACTCTTTGAATTTGTCAATCCAGAATCTACCTCCAGTCCCAAATACCCTTGCCTGGTCTCCTTCCCTGTCCTTTCCCCACTGTTTCCTGAGGCCCCACTCTGGTCCTTCTGTAGAGATGGCATTCGGGGCAGAAGGGGACACCCTGACATCAGTATTCCCAGCAAGCAGGAGGCTCCCAGGGGGACTGCTCCAAGGCAGAGGACCGGGGCAACACTGGTAATGGGAGGAGCAGCTAAAGTGCCAGCACTTGATAGCCTCCCAGCCAAACCTGTCAGGATCACCTGCCAGAGGCTCCAGAATCCCTATCTACTGGTTGCTGACCACTGCTGTAGTCAGTTTCCACCAAGGCTGATCCTAAGCATCGTTTGTATATGGATGTAGTGTGGCTAAAACTCTTAGTAGCCATTGCCAGCTAACAGTGTTTCAACCCTGCCAGAGGCCTAGGTTGTGTTCCTGTAATCTGTTTAGTAACTTGAGGACAGGAAGGGGATACTAGGTGTGGCTGGGACAATCCTAATCCTCTCTGTGTAACTGAACTGTTTTGGCTGCTCCTTCTCCTCAGGTCTCTGTGACCGATACAATGCCACACCTGCTCCTGGTGTTGAGCTGAATGTATGCTCTGCAGTCACTTCCTCCTGAGACAGTGTGGGATAGTTGCTCGAATTTTTCTTGAATGCCTTGATTAAAAACCTGATTGGGCTGCATGCTGGATCTACAGTCTTGATTGTGATGTCAGAAGAGCTTCTGTGTGGGCACAAACTGACCTATGTAACTTGTGAAGAGGGTGAATGTTTCCTACCTGCTTCCACAGCTGTGATTAAACCTTGCAGTGCAGACTGGGCTTTTAACCACACCTGAAATAGATCCAGGTGCTGCTTAGGCCCTCACCTAATACAGTGGGATCAGAAATGTTGCTGAAAGAGCAGTCTAACATGAGGATGGGGAGTCTGTAACAGAGGAGTCCTCTATCCTTGCAGGCCCTGTGTAGGATAGGATTGTGTAGCCATACTCATGGCATTTTCTGCTTGAATTGGCCACACAGTTGTGCTCCAGAATGCCGTTTTCTTTTTTTTTAACCTCTAGCCCAAGAATTGCACAGAGAATCTTCAGAGTGAGCTGCTGTTACCTGTGTGGTGACTCTTAGACTGCCTTTCAGGCAAAGGGTGACTGACAGGATGCATTTCTGTAGACTGTTTTCACTAAAGCCTGATTGGGAATACTTTGACTGTCATTGTTAACTATTTCACTCCTGTCCTGGACATCTTAGTGCACACATTAGCTAAGGTGCTTATTCGATCATGGTTGGACACAGTGGCAGATATTGTGTGGGAAGGAGTTCAAGCCTCCCTTCCTTCATAAATTTAAACAGTTTTGGGGCTGCTCTTGCTTGAAAAAAATGGAGGGAAAGATAAGGCGCAGCCTCTCCCCATTGTCTGCCTCCTTGTCAAAATAACACAACTTGCATATCATGTGGCATGCCAGACTCCCTAATTCGGTCTTCTCAAATCCTCTAGTCTCCACACCACTGGCAAGTCTTTTGATGCTACAAAACACTTTTCAGTGCAAAAAGCTGTGGCATGCTGAATGTTTGGGGGCAGCATACAATGAACAGAATTTATTGTGAGCACAAGAAGAGGTAGTTTCCTGGCTGGGGTGAGGGTAATAGGGAAATAGGGCTCATGGGAGAGGAGTGCTGCTAATTCAGGGGTTTTATGTAATGGGAGGGGGTCACTTCCTCATTTGGATCTCATGTAATGCTCCCTCATAGTAATGTATGGAAAAATGCTGGTTGAGCATGGAGGTTACCTCTTTGTGTTGGGGAGGGGACACCCCAAAACATTGAATAACTGTTTTGAACCCTCTTGTGGTCAGACTGCTGCAGTCCATAGAGTGGACAAGGACTGTGGGTGTAATCTGTTTTTTTTTTCTATATGGTTTCAGGTTGTCAATTTGCATTTCCGGTTTCCCCATTTTCAGTTGTGCTTCGAAGCTTTTGCTTACAATGTTCAGAGTCTGGTTTCCCCCCGGCCCCAATTTCTGGTCTTTTAGGAAGAAACTCTTTTGCTTGGTGCTTACGTTGGCTGTCAAAACACTACTTTTTCTGAGCGAGACCAGGGAATAAAGGGGCTGGTCACGTGACCGTGCTCAGCTGGCTTTACCTCTGCTGCCTGAGGCACTCTCAAGTCGTCTCAGACTTGAAGGGCCAAACAAGTTTTCGCTAGCTGAATTGCATTTGTTTTTGGTATCTTGTGACAGGTACAAAATACCAAATATTTTACAAGGCCCATAAAGTGGTTTTTAGATTGTAGTTGTCCAGCTGCCTCTTTCCATCCCCTAGCACCTACCCTCTTAGCTGAAGAGCGTTCCAACCATTCAGGACAGGCTGAGTTCCTTTGTTTTCCAGTGCAGTTGCTCTAACCCTGTAAGAGAAATTGCGCAAGAGGGGAGAGGAACTGAGCTTTCAGAAGAGGAAGTTTGGGTGTATTGGAAAAGAGGAATCTCTCTTGTGTGCAAGGGAGCACAATCCCATCAGAAATACTTGGGTCTTTGAGATGCCACAGGGCCACTTGTTTTTTGGAGGGAGGCGAGACTGTCCGTTTTGTGGGTCAGGGATGGTTTATATAGCATACCAGCTCTGGTAAAATGGTTGCTGAAGGTTTCCTTTTAAAAGCCAGTGGTGTTCTACTAATTTTGACAGTAAGATTCATTCAAGCCAGCATTTCTCCCTTCCATAATAAGTTTGCCTCAAGGAGCAAGTATTGGCCCTGATTGTGCAAGATGGTGGAGAAACTTCTCCAACTCCTTAGCACCTAGAGGGGTCAGGCCTGTTTATGAACTTCTTCCAAATTTGTATTCCCAGCAACATAATAGTTGAAGAACAAAGCCTTGTTTCCCACTACCAGCTCCCTCACTAGTGCCTACCTAGTCCTGCTCTAGACTAGGGTTACATTTTACTATGATTCATGTGCACTGTTGGAAGATTCTGAAAATTGTCTCTAAGTAATTGTCAGATGGGGAATGTGCACTTCAGAAGCAGCTACCATTTCCTACAAGTACTCCCCCCTCTCTCTTTCAGACAATGAGTATGTATTTATGGACCTGGAACAGAAGCTTAGCAAATACTTCTCAAAGGAATGGAAGAAAGAGACAAACAAAGTAGGTCAAATATGTTTTTTTCAAGAGATTATTAACTTTGTGTTGCTATGATTACACTGTGAAATGGAAGCCTCAAACTGAAGTTTGTGGTGCATTTGCTGGTGCTCTGGCAAACTGGTTGGTCACAGAACTGAGTCTCATTTTCAGCTCTTAAATGGGATTAAAAGAGATTAAAACTACATTAAGTATTTTGCACTAACAAATGTGGAAGTGTAAAATACTAAATGCTTTAATACACAATTGCTGTGGTTGCTGCAAGGCAGGGGCGGGGGGTGTTGTTCCTAGAAGGTGAAGGAGTCAGAATCATTTTCTCTTTTTGAGAGTAGTTGCTGCATGGAAAGGTTGGAGAATGCTTGCTATATAAAACAACACCGCTTTGGGTAAAATGACCTGACACAGCTATTTGTGTACCACAGGGCATTGGACTAAAACACATGGGGGGCTGGAGTTGTGACTTGACAGGTGTATATAGAGCAGCAATTGTAGGGAGGAAGGGCATTTTTTATTAAGAGTCTTGATTTCTTTACTCTAGCTGAAATGTTAAGAAAAATCATGTGATGTGAATAAGGCATGTGTCTAGCTATTTCATACAAGCTATTGCAAATCAACATTGTCAGTCTTTTAGTTTAAAAAAAAAAAAAAAAAAGCTTAAAGAGACTGTTCCCTGCCCAATTGTCATATTTTCTACATCAAAACAAAATCGTAAGCTGTGGAAGAAACTAATGTTTTCATTCAACTACATTGTTAGGTTTCAGACATGTTTGTATACAGTATTGTTTGTTGCACCTCTCTAGAAAGATACTTTGTGCAGCAGATGAATTTATGGCTTCTTCCACCTCTAGAGAGTGCTGATTCCATCAGTGTCCCTGCACTTACACTGGGTTACAGACAGTCCCTCATTTTAACATCTTCCAAATGAGAATAAGCTTTGAAAATGTGACTACAGCATTTTGCTGCCGTGGAACCAGTCAGGGCAGCATGCTGGTGTTGACACTCACATAGCCCTCATCAGCGTGGTAACTGAGTGCCTTGCTGTCATTCATGAGCTTTAGCCTCACAACACCCCTTCTGAGGTAGGAGAGCACTTACCTTCTCTGGGCCTAATCCCCATTTTACACATGGGAACCAAAGAGACTTGCCCAAGGTCACAAAGGAAGTTGGTGGCTGAATCTGGAATTGAATCCTGGTCTTGTAAGCCTTCCGCCTCCCCATCCAGTGCTGTTGGCTAGCTCTGTCCTTCTTACCACTTCATTGACAACAAAATACCATCATTGCACGTGTTGTGCAATGTTGTGACTGGATTGTTTTACATGAATGCCTTGGCGATGGAGTTGTTACGGTTGGTTCCATAGGTGTGCTTGATACGTTATGCATGTACGCAGATGGATCTGAGACACAGCACATGCCTCAGCTTTGGTCAGGAAGGGCGGAACATATTGCAGAGGTAAAAGGTTTCGCCTTTTTCTTGGCGTGAGGGCTGGAGCTGTGGGATATAAGAAAATAGAGCTTGTTTGCTTCATCTGCATTGCGTCTTGGCCAAATACTGCATAGTATCTCATTGACAGGAGCTCCCAAGGCAATATCTGTTTGGCTAAGCATGGTGACTAATCATTTAAAAAAAAAAAGTGGGGAGCGGGCTTGGAGTTGGGTAACAGAGGGCAAAACACAGAATGGTGAGGAAGATCACAAGATGCTGGACTCATGGGAAAAACTAACACTTTTTTCCCCCCTCTCCCTTTGCCCTAAAGGGGACGGAGAAGTTCACCCCTCCTTTTGTTGCCTTCTTCAGAGTGCAGTACTACGTAGAAAATGGAAGGGTCATAAGGTAAATCTGTCCTTGGTAACCACTTTACTTTTTAAGAAAACTGTTGGATGGAAAAAAACACACACATGTTTTCTTTTGAAGAGCTCTTTCCTTCCCTCTGGGGGGGCTGTCGTCCTACAGTCATTCCCTAGAGATCAGTAATGATGTATGGCAGTAGATTCTTTTATCCAGAATTGACTTTCATCCTGGTAGGATTCATACTCTGATGCTTCTCAACTATCGCTTTAAGGCTCCCTGCACTAAAATTTGATGCTGTTTTTTATTGTTTTTGCATGTAAACAACTCTTAAGACTGAAGCTAGAGAAATTATTTAGGGTATGTCTACACAGCAGCATCTACAGTACAAGCGGTTACGTCAACATCATGTCGAGCTGGAGGACTTCTTGCTCCAACTCCTATAACCCTCATTTTACAAGGAGTTAGGGAAGGTGGAAGAAGAGTGCTCTTTCTCGGCCAGCGCCAAAAGCCAAAATAAGCTATTTTGACTTCAGCTACGCAATTGACGTAGTTCAAGTTGTGTAGCTTATTTCGACTTTATCCTTGCTGCGGAGATGTGCCCTAAGAGTGCCGCTGTCTACTTTCCATCTTCTCACTTGCATGCTTTGATTTAGCTTTTGCTCTTTTCTGAACTCCCCCATCCATTTATTCACAACAATGACAGCTTTGTTTTTATATCTTTTCCCACTCGGTCTACAGTATTTTCTCCCTTCCTTCTTGTTTGGAAATCTTAACTCACTTTTATTTCTCTGGGTGTGGATGTAGGTAGGTAATATCAGACCTGCCAATGGGCAATTGGGGGCAGTTGCCCTGGGGGCTTGGCTCTCCAGTCGCCATCACTACTGCCCTTTGAATTGCTGCCAGAGTGTGGCTCCATGTAATTCTCAGAACTTGGGAGGCAGAGAGGAGGTGCATGTCATGGTCTGGGCAGCACTGAGGGTTGACTAGCCTGGCCCTACCCTTCTGCCTGAGGGTGTCTTCCCCCTCCCCCCCTTCCCTGGGAACATGAAGTCATCCCTTCTCTCCCCCCAACCCCCCACCTTGTCCTGGGGCCCATGGTGCCTGTCAGCCCATTGTGGCTGGGTAATATTTATTAAAATGTATCCAACAAACATCTGCACATACTGGATTAAAAAGAAAATTAGACCAATACTCGCAAAATGTTCATAGAAATTGTTGCTCTAGGATACCACCTAGTATTTTTCTGTTTGGTAACTTATTTTTTGTATTAATTGCATGTGAGCCATGCGTGTGCTAGCTAATTGGAAGTGAACAAAAGGAATGACTTGTGAGTTCTAGAATTTTTCATTTGAGTGGGCTCCATTCATGTGGAATACAGGATGCACACAGCTACCCTTACCCCCCCTTCCCCATGCAGAACAAAGGATGAGTCAGTTAAAAATGAACAATTGACAAGTATGTTTTGCATCAGCACTGCTGGTATGGTTCTGGCCCCAGGGCAAGCCAAGAGCTGGAAGCATTCAGGTGCATTAACATCAGCATAATCTTTGCTCCATTTAAGCATTTGCTGTCCTTGTCTGTGTAAGGCTTTTTTATCTTTCTCTTCGGATTAAGGGGCGAGAGTTTCCCTCTGAGGAGAGGTTTTCTTACTGCTAAAAGGAGACTACCCAGGATTCATCTTTCTCTAAATGTCTGCACTGGAATTTAAAAACCTGCACCTGGGCCATGTAGGCTGAGTCTTACTGATAGGGCTTGGGCTCAGGCAGGGGTGGGAAATAACTTTTGATATGGGGAAGATTTTGGAAAGTGGTTGAGGGCTGCACTCTTCCATGGTATTAATGGAGGTGAGGGGTCTGGGATGGAGGCTGGGTGCAGAAGGGAGCTTGAGGTAAGGGAATGGAGTCTGGGTGAAGGAGGCAGTTGTGACCTAGGACAGGGGACTGGGGTGCTGGGTTCTGGGATGTGAGCTAGGGTAGGAGGGGATTTGTGATCTGGGGCAGGAGGTTAAGGTGCCAGAGTTTGGAGGGGGTATGGGTACATGGGGAGTAGTGGGGCAGGAGTAGGAGGTAGAAGGTTGGGGAAGGGCTGGGGTGCCCGAGGCAGACTCTGGCCAAAGCCTTGCCTGCCTTCAGCGCTAAAGGCTTGCAATGCTTAAAATGTTTCTGCCTACTTGGCCATATGCTTGAGTGAATAACTAAGCAGGAGGGGAGAGGAGTTGTGCCAACTGTTCAGACATTGTGCTGGGAGTGGGAGCAGCATCTGAATCTCTGCCCCGCCTCCTCCAAACTCAGAGAAAGTGCCCTCCAGCTGTGTTTCTGAGTGGTGTGTGGGGCAAGGAGAGGAGCTTGCCTGGAGCTCCCCACTTCCTCTGTGGGCTGGATTTGGCCTGTGGGCCGTATTTTGCTCAGGCCTAGGCTAAGGGGCTGTTTAGTTGTGGTGTGTATATATGCCGGCTTGGGCTGGAAGGCTGAATTCTGGAACCCTGCAAGGTGGGATGGTACTTAGTTTGAAATGCAACCTGAGCCTAAGAACCTTTTCACTGCAATTAAGTAGCCCCCTAGCCTGAGACAGCAGTGTGTTTTTAAATAACAGTGTAGACATACCCTTTGTGGGTCTCAGTTGGCAGCACAAGCGTCTTTCCTCTACAATAGCGACGAAGAGTCCTGTGGCATCTTATAGACCAACAGATTTATTGGCGCATCACTACTCTATCCATTGTTTACAATGGAGTAATGATGCTCCAATAAATCTTAGTCTATAAGGTGCCACAGGACTCCTCGTCGCTTTTTCATATTCAGACTAACACAGCTACCCCTCTGATACTTTCCTCTACAATAGAATTTAGGAAGCAGAGAGAGGTACATAAAGGCATGTCACTGTAGTCATGAAGGTTCTTTCAAATATACCCTAGAGTTCTGAAAGGGAGGTCTTGGCTCTGTGACCTCCCCTATTTATTTATTCTTTGCTCACCTTTCCCTGATTAATATCCCAGTTGAGTACTCCTACAGGACTGCAAAACCCAAAGAATCAAATCCAAGATTATCGCTATCTCTACCTCCCAGGCAATTCACTAATATTATAAAACATACGAGTGCCTCACCTAGAAGGCGCAGTAATCAGTCTTGAGAGGAAGAACGAACTTTTGGATGAGACCCTGGACTGGGACTCAGAACCAGGAATGGATCCCAGATTTCCTGTCTCAACTTCCTATGTGGCACCTGGCACTTAAATCATTTTGGGCCCCAGTACTATCTCCCCGCTCCGCTCCAAAAAAAGTGACACTCTGAATTCCTTTCTTCAACTTTCAGCTAGTTTGATGGTTTAGACTGTAAACTTTTGAGGACCAAGATTGACTGTTACTGTGTACAGTGCCTAATGCCACAGAGCTCTGATCCTGACTGGGATTGTAAATGCTACTATAACAGAGAACTTGCTTATTTAAAAGAAAAGCAGTTTTGTATACATCAGTGATACCGTAAGTGTGTCCATTCTCTTAGTGAAGCAGCATGTGACTGGCCGTACTGGCATGCGATCTCTGCTCTAGCTTAAACAAAGCTGTCTTTCTGTATCCTGCAGTGACAAGGCAGCACGGCACCTGTACTACTGCCATCTCAAGGAACAGGTGTTGAGATCTCGGTGCTCCCACAAAGAAGAAATCTACTTCCTGCTGGCTGCTTACAGTTTACAGGCTGACTTGGGCAGTTATGCCGAGAATGTCCATGTTGGGAAATACTTTGAACCTCAGGCCTATTTCCCACAGTGGGTAAGGTGGCTTTTTGTTTTGCTTGTTTTTCCCACCATAAGATGAGGTAGCACCATCTGCACTTGCAGCAGTGACTCCCCAGGCTTCTGTTCTTCCCAGCCTGAATCCAACAATTAAAGGGCAGATATTTTCAGAAATAAATTGTATTGAAATGCTTTTGCTTTTTATATCCTAAGATTCTCTGAAAACCCTCAAGGGGCTGAAGACCAGTAAAATTCTTTATCTTGGCCTCGTCATATGTACCTGTGGGGAGGACTGAGCTTGGCACAGGTGGCAGTATGTGAGGGGGAACGTCCCAGCCTGAATCCAACAATTAAAGGGCAGATATTTTCAGAAATAAATTGTATTGAAATGCTTTTGCTTTTTATATCCTAAGATTCTCTGAAAACCCTCAAGGGGCTGAAGACCAGTAAAATTCTTTATCTTGGCCTCGTCATATGTACCTGTGGGGAGGACTGAGCTTGGCACAGGTGGCAGTATGTGAGGGGGAACGCTAATCTGTGTAAACAGCGCCAAGTTTCAAAATAAGCTATTTTGAAATACATTAGCTATGCAATTTGCGTAGCACAAATTGCGTAGCTTATTCCGAGATAAGGGTGCTGTCTACATGCACCCTTATTGAGTAATGGGTCTACTCTATCCGTGGTCTTCTTCTTGCTTCTGAAATATATTTGTAGAATGTTTTCTTCTTACACTTTATGTCTCTAGCTAGTTTACTCTTATCTGGTGCCTCAGACGTTCTAAATTTCTCCCTACTTATTTGTGTTAATTTGTTTATAGACACCCTTACCCTCATTTCTACTTTTGTGGGGGAGGCGGGGGTTGGTTTTTTTGTTTTTGTTTTTCCTCCTTTTTCTTCCCTTCTGACTTGACTCGTCAGAGCATTTCATTGTGATTCCTCTGAGTGGTCTCGTGGCCACTAATTGATCTTGGTCACTTGCATCAGATTGTTGTCTAGTGCTTCAAGTGTGTACTAAACAGTTTCCACTTTCCAGTACTATGAATTTTGGGGTGGTCAGGGATAGTTGATTATCTTTTTACCATACAAAAAAGTCTTCATAGGTTAATCTGAATTGTGATTGAATCATTTTGAGCTGAAATTATTTGCTTTTTGTTTTAAATCTATCATGGTGACAAACTTTGCCTGAGGACAATGACTCGAAGCCAGTCACTTGTCTTCTGACTATTCAGTATCTTTGGAAGGAGTGCCCAGGCATGTAACATACAGAATGCTGCTTCCTGCAGCATTTCCTGTTCTACTGTGATGCAGATTCAAAGTGAACCACCATGGTGTATGAGAATCCAGGTAAATGACAGAGGTAGAGGTTCAGGCTCTGGATTGGGAGTCAGGAAGCCAAGGTTCTAATGGCTTTGTCTCAAACCCACCTTGGGCAAGTCACCACACCTCTCTGCCTCAGTTTCCTCTCCAACCCAAGCTGTTCCCAAGTGTTGGGGAAGGGAAGAGTTCAAAGCAGAAGAAAGGAATGGCATCAGGAGGCAGGACAAGTCTGGACTTCCATACTCATGAGCCCCAAGCTACCAGACAAATGGTTCATATTCTGCCACAGTCACCTCCCATTGTGTATGATTACTCTCATCTCCCCAGCAGAGTTCTCGCCACTAGCCTCCCTTCCACACCTTGGGAGTTGCAGTTCCCAGATGACGCACACCTTGCATTACGTAGTTTCCAAAGGGGTTAGGGAGGTAGATGGGGGTAGGGATTATGACAGGGGCAGCTATCAATCATCTTTTAATCTTTCAAGCATTCCAAAGGCCAAAACAGAGCTGCGCCCACCTGCACTGAGCCACAGCTGCAAACAAGCATATATGATTTATTATTGCAGATAGCAAAGTCTGGCATCTAGCGTGACGCTTCTCTCCCTGTCCCCAGGATACTGCAGGGAGACACTGCAGCTGATCTACTATTTTAACAGCACCTGGTTCATATCAGTGGCCGAGGGCTACTGCAACCCAAATAATTAATATACAGTGTGAAGCTGCAGGCTAACAAGTGGGAAATATGGGTTTGAACTATGGACTTGGCTCCCAGATATAACCTTGTGACGCTGTACAGCTGGCTGATTAGATCAAGAGTGGCATTGATAGAGCTAAGCCGCCTTGATAGGAGGAGGGTTATAATCACATGAGGCCTGAGTGCAGGGAGTTTGTAAGAAAAGGCAAAAGAAGAGTTCAAAGCACATGGAGCTCAGGGTCAGCTGGGGACTCCCCACCTGACCCTGGGCTCCACGCAGTGCTGCCACTTTGAAACGTGGAGGCAGAGCTGATCCTGGGCTCCATGGTGTTTCAAAGCAGCAGCGCTGCACAGAGCGCAGGATCAGCAGTGTGGTGATGCCCCTTTGAAATACTGCCGTGGCATTCCAAAGGGGCAGACCCACACAGAGCCCGGGGTCAGTTGTGCAGCACTGCCCCTTTGAAACATGGCCATGGCATTTCAAAGCAGCAGCGCCACACAGAGCCCATACCCTGGACTCTGTGTGGTGCTGACGCTTTGAAGTACCCCTTCTTCCTCCCCCTCCCCTTTGCTGCTGCTATCTGATAGGCAGCAAGGGTGGGGAGGGAAGTGACTAATCAACTCAGCTATCTGATAAGCATTTGCTTATCGGATAGTCAACTAGTTCTCAACGTCCTCCATCCTCCGTTCAGATGCATTCTTCTTCAGTGCCTTTGGGCAAATTTTAAATGCTAGCTCTTCAAGGGGAGAGAGTTCAGTGAACTTGCATTATCTGGTGTGGTGGTCAGGTTAAGAAAAATGAAAGCTCTTTCCTACATGTTTAGTCCTTGCAGTTGACATAGCTGCCACCTGTTGGGATCATTGCCACCTGTTGGGATCATTGGAAAGCTGCTGACCGTGTCTGTCTTGTCTTGTTCCGTTTCTTTTGTGGCAGATAATTGCCAAGAGAGGAAGTGACTATATCTTGAAGCATGCTCCAGAGATACACCAAGAACAGAAAGGTCTGAGCACGAAAGATGCTATCCTGCAGTTCATCAAGGAGTCCTGTTTGCTGGAAGATGTGCCTGTCCATTATTTCAGATTGCAGAAGGTTAAACAGCTGCTTATTTTAGCCTTTTGACAAAGTTGAATGCACTGTTGGTTTCCTTGAACTTGATAAATGTTGGGCCTCTAATGTTAAAAGCAGATGTTCTCCACAGGTGGGAGTAAACCTATTGGGTTCTGGGGCGGGTCAAGTGATGTGTACAAATACAGTGCCATGGCATTGTCACTTCATAGAAAGGAGGAAACACTTCTAAGTTCCCAGCCTTTTATTTGCAGCCCCACAGGTAGGTCAGCCTCCCTTCTCTTGGAGCAGTTGGAGTCTGCTCCCATTCCATTGCACCCTGTTCCGTGTAGTGCCAAGCAACTGTGGAAGAGTTTCTGGGTGTATTTGAGGACAGGCTGAATGTGGGGTTGTGGGAGGAAATGCATTGAGAAGCTGTATGTTTTCAGATGAGGGAGACTTTTTTTGGAGGGGGAAGGTTGTATGACCATAGCATCTGGGGACCCCTCTTTGCCTGTGGCTTTACAAATACAGAATGAAAAGGTAATCCCTGCTCCCAAAGAGCTTACAGTCTAGCACTGAGTGTGCCCAAATTTCATACCTCTGTTCTTGATGAGCATGTTTCAGTTTGGTTTGTGGTTGTTTTAATGTATTTTGCCACCTCCCACCTCCCTTTCATGCTCTCCATCTCTTTAGGAGCAGACAACCACTGATGTTGGAGTGAATAAGGTCTATTTAAAGAGGTTCCTCTTGTATTTTGACTTGATAAATGACGTAGTGTAGGCAATGGCAGGGTAAAAGGGCACCCTGGGTGAGGGATTTTTTTTTTTTTTTCCTTTCCTACTTAAGCAAGCCAGGTCCTAGCACATGGATGGGCAAAATCAAGCTCAGAGGCCAGCTCTGACCCATGGAACATTTCTTTCTGACCTGGCCAGCTGTATTAGCAGAGTGTGTATACTTGTGTGTTCAGCTGCCCCTTGCCCCACCATGCTCCGTCCTGCAGTGGAACTGCTCCCAGGATCTGCCAGCTAGCTGTGTAGAGCAGGGTGTAAGGGAGGGGGGAGTGCTAAAGTCAGGGTATCTCTGTGCCCCTGTACCCCATCTCTGTAGTACAGGGGCCAGGGACAGGGAGACCCATAGCAGAACTACTCCAGTCAGAAGTATGGATGGTAAGTGATTCTGAGGCAGTGCATGGTTTCTAAAAGTCAGTGCTTGTGCACACACCAGGGATAGCTTTCCTTCTTGTAAAGAAGCAGCATGTGGCTTCAGTAACTTACCAACAGCATCTAGTGCACATGCTGTCGTGACCAGGGCCGGCCTTAAGCCGATTCGGCTGAATCGGGCCCCACACCTAAGGGGGCCCTGCACCTGGAAGTCAGCTGCTCCCCCTTGCCTGCGCACGCTGCCGGCTGCTGCTTCCATGCGTGTGCATTTGCAGGTGGGCGGGGAGACGCCTGGGCGTGGCGTGACATGGTCATGGCCCGGGATTTTTAAAACTGAAAACTGCAGGCAGCTCGGACTTGGGAGTCCGGCCCTGCATTGTAGAAGGCAGAAGGTAAGGGACGGAGGGGGGAAACTAGGGAGGAGGGGTGGGAGGCGGGAGGGGGAGTCAGCTCTCAGCCTCCTGCAGCCCAAGTCACCCTCTTCCTCCTGGCCAGCCTCGCAGCCCCCGAGCCCCCTCCAGCTCTGCTTCCCACCCACTCCCTTCCTCCCAACCAGCACCCCCCCTGCCCACAATCAAGTGTGTCCAGTTTTTTTGGGGGGGGGTCTACCTGGTAACCCTACCAGCTGCAGCTCCACAACATGCTCAGGGATGGGGCTTCTCCTCCTCCCCAAGACGTCAGACTCCACTAGAGGCTCCCAGTGCTGATCGGGCCCCACCTCCCAGTCATTCCCCCCGCCGCTGCCAGGCTTCAGTCTGGTACCCAGCCAGAAAACCAGGAGATACCAGAAATTGCACGTGTTGGATATTTTCTGGATGTTTTTACCAGACAGAGGGCCCAATAACCAGACTGTCCGGTAGAAAACCAGACACCTGGCAACCCTATGAGTCGGACTGGGTGCAGACACCAAGTGATGGGGAGACTGCTGGAACTTTGGGAACCAGAGACTGTGAGGTGAGGGTTTGTGGCCCAAAAGGGGGCTGAGAAACCCAAGAAAGACAGAGTAGGGGGAGCACCAGAAGGGTGACAGTCAGGGCGACCCTGGAACTCTGTTACAAACCAGCTGGCGGCTGCTGGAGGAGGAGGGAAAAATAGGGGGAAGGGTCAGAGAGGAAGGGGCTTGTGCTGAGGGGGGGGCAAGGCTGGGAGAAGAAAGGAGAAGGCACCAAGGGACTGGGTGGAGGAGAGACAAATGCCAGGAGGCCAAGCGCAGACAATGAGGAAAAGGGCAGGAGGGGGCGGTGTCAGTGGGAGGGGGGACAAGGTGATGCTGGGAGAGGAGAGGGGAAGGGCATTGGGGACTAGAGGGAGGGAGGAGGTGGGGAAAGTTTGAAAGAAGGGGTGGGCATGAAGATGGCAGGGATGAAGCAACTCATGTGTGAGGGCACAGAGGGGCAGGAGGGGAATGGGGGGCAGAGGGTGGTGAGGGGGTGGGCATCAGGGAAAAAGAGGGCAAAGGGCGCAGGGGCAGTGAGGGAAGGGGGGGCACCAGGAGGGTGCAGGGCTAAGGGAAGGTGCAGGTGCCAGGGGATTCTGGGGGTGAAGCAGAAGGGCAGACACCTGCAGGGGAGGGACCAGCACCAGAGGAGAGAGGCAGGGCAGGTGATGGGGAGGGGTAGCTCACATGATCAGAGTGGGGCTACTGGAGGAGTGGGCATGGGGGAGAGAAGGGCTGGTGGAGGGGGGCAGGTCTCAGGAGGGCAGAGGGCAGTGAGAAGGGCGGGAGTCTGGACAGCAGAGGAGGATGAGGGGTTGGGGGGGCAGCAGGCACTCGGGGAGGAGACATGGCAGCAGAGAGAAAAGGTAGAGGTTTATAAAATATTTATTAACTTGATATGCTGCCCACGGCCACTTTGTTTGCACCCTGCAGTGCATTTTGGGTTTATGTGGGGATCAAGACGAGGCCGGTGAGTGGGAGCCAAAACAAAAAAGTAGTCAGTGTAATGATCTTCTGTTGATATGTGTTTTAGTAGCTAAATTCTTGGATTGTCATTGCTCATGAAAAGTGCTGTCACATGGGTAGAAATCAGGTAAATATTGCATTTTATTACTATCAGCAGAACTGACTTAAATAGGGCCTGTGTGTTGAGTAGTCTTGCCTTAATCTTTGTATTCATGCCTGTCAGTGTGAGAGAAGCTATTTGTATAAGTTTGCTTGCCTATGCAACCACACTTAAGTTGAGGCCCTCAGCATGCTCTGTAAGTATCAGTGTGGCCCTGGGGTTTCCAAAGTTGAGTTGCCCTAGCTCATCCCTGACAGGTGTCTGTCTAACCTGGTCTTAAATATCTCCAGTGATGGAGATTCCACAATCTCACTAGGCAATTTATTCCAGTGTTTAACCACCCTGACAGGCAGGAATTTTTTCCTAATGTCCAACCTAAACCTCCCTTGCAGCAACTTAAGCTCATTGCTTCTCATCCTAACCTTAGAGGCCAAGCAGAACAATTTTTCTTCCTTCTCCTTATGATACTCTTTTAAATACTTGAAAGCTGCTTTTGTGTCCCTTTTCAGTCTTCTCTTTTCCAAGGTAAACAAGGCCAATTCCTTCAGCCTTGCCTCATATCTCATGTTCTCTAGATCTTTCATCATTTGTTTCTCCACATTTCCTGAAATGTGGCACCCAGAACTAGACCTGATACTCCAGCTGGGGCCTAATGTAGATGGCTCATTCCCTGCTTAGGGGATGTGAGACTGGGCAGGTTAACTTCCAATCCTCCTGTTTATTTTCCTAAGCCAGGAGGGCACGGTAGTTCTGATGGGGGCTCTGCAGGAAGGCAGCCCGCACTGCCCCCTGCCTGAAACCTTGTGCAGGTGTTAAACAGCTGTCTAGCCCACCCTAGAGGTGACTGCATTTCAGCATGCCTAAAGCAACACTGCACCAGCAATGGACAGGAGCATGGCTCCTGGGCAAGGCTTGCTCATGACTGCTTCAGTCCCATTGGATGGGCTTCAGCCTCTTTCCTTCCCCTCCCCTGCTTTGCAATGGGGCTGTAGACTCTGGGGGAGAGGGATGGAGGCAGGCAGAGGTGTCTCCCTGCAGCAGATGTAGACATGTCTCTGTAGGTCACAGGCATCAATTGCAAGATCATTGCTTGGAGGGATCTCCCTGCTGATCCTCTCCTAAGGCTTTCAATTAACCAAGGGATTGTAGGTCACAGGCACCCACCGCAGTCTCCTATTCTGTAAAGTATACCCCTTTTGTGTATGGGACATTTCTATCTTTATTCTGGGATAGGGTGAGTTCGTTGCAGTTGCTGCTTGTTTGCCTTTAACTTTCAAATACATGGTTTGGCCCTAAAGCTTGTCTGGCCTGATTTGTGATTGTCAGTCCAGATAGATACGTAACACCAGGCCAAATTTGGCTTCTGTGGGGGGACAGGCTTTGATTAATTGCTTAGGCTCCACAGCAATTGCTTACCTAAGTCTCTCGTGTAACAGCTTAACCAACTTGATATTTATAATATATGGTGCAAGGTACCGAAACTTGTGTGTGGTGTGTGTGGGGGGGGGGAGAACAAAACACACCGCGCGCGCGCGCGCACACACAATCCTGGGTGGTGGTGGGGCCCTGCCCAAACTGTTTGAATTGGCCCCCACACTTCCTAAAGCTGGCCCTGGTCATGACCACACCCACCCACCACCACTCTCTCTCCCATCTCTGTGCCCCACACACTGTCTGTCTGTAGCCCCCAAATAAAACCCAAAACAAGGTCACTCAAACTCCTCTCTTACCATTTGAACCTCTAAATGGGGACTCCCTGGTTCGGCAACTGATGTTCTGTACCACAGTAGCTCCAGAGTCCCAGTAGAGGGCTGGCAGCTGGGCTGCCTGGCGTAGCGGGGGGGAGGTAAGGGAGTGGGATCGGTAGGGCTGTGATGCTGGCGGTGGGAGTGGGGAGTGTCTGGTCCAGGGCTGGGGGCTGGTAGCAAGGGGGGCCAGATATGACCTCCCCTGGTCTGGCACCGGTTAGGTCCTGAGGGTGCCGGACCTGAAAGGTCCAACCTGTACTTGTGAACATAACTGTCAGTAATGCAGCACATGCCCATCAAGGGGCAGCACAGGGTCATAATCCTAATCCGTTAAAAGATGTAAGTATAAAACTATGCTACAGTCTATACTGAGATCAGAGAGAATGCTAAAAAAGCTAGACCCAAAGCTGCATCAACCAACATTAACCCTGGTCCAGGGCTAGGGGCTGGTAGCAAGGGGGGCCAGATATGACCTCCCCTGGTCTGGCACCGGTTAGGTCCTGAGGGTGCCGGACCTGAAAGGTCCAACCTGTACTTGTGAACATAACTGTCAGTAATGCAGCACATGCCCATCAAGGGGCAGCACAGGGTCATAATCCTAATCCGTTAAAAGATGTAAGTATAAAACTATGCTACAGTCTATACTGAGATCAGAGAGAATGCTAAAAAAGCTAGACCCAAAGCTGCATCAACCAACATTAACCCTAAGTCTTTCCACCTATGCGGATTTATTAACACCTGCTGCTGAACTGCACCTACAGTAACAGCACGGTAACTGGTGGGAACACTTCTTTCTTGGCAAAAAAGTGGGACAAGTGGACCTAATCACAGCACAGAGATTGAAACAACCTGTTCAGATGGGGGGAAGAGTACTGGGAATAGTAGTAAAAGCAAATTAAAGTAAGGGGCAGTTAGTTACAAATAACACTTGTATAAATGGCAGTGTGCTAAATTCAGTAACACACTGGTATTCTGTTTCGGTGGCTGCAGGTTGTATTGAGAATTTCACCACATACTGAACACTTAAGACACCCCTGAAGAACTGCACAAGTGTGATATTTAGTTCAACGAAGAATGGACCCCCACTCCTCCAAAATGGGAAGGGGAGATGTGAAGTGCTAATGACAATGACATGCTGAGTTAGGATAGCCTTGGTGTGGCTCTGTTATAGGACCTACCCAAGTCAGAGTGGATCTGCACGCGTGTGTGTGTGCGTGCTCCTTGACCCCAGACCTTTATGTTCTTGTAGGATAAGAAGGAAGATCGCCCAACAGTTGTCCTGGGTCTCACCCTTAAAGGAATTCACATCTATCAGGTAACAATAGAAATGAGAGATTTTTAGTGTACCACTAACGCCACCTCGCCCTCACCATTCCCCTCTACTTCATGATTGCCAGACTATGTATTTCACATTCTTGATTGTGTGTGAATTCCTTGCACATCCCTTCCCCCGGACATCCCCAGTCCTCCTTATATCTGCTAGACCTTGTATCATCGTGTGTTTGATATGTTGCAGGAGGTGAACCATGTCCGCCAGCTGCTCTATGACTTCCCCTGGTCACACATTGGGAAACTTGCGTTCCTGGTGAGTGTAGCAGAATATGAATCATCTGTCTGGTAGGCAGGCAGCCTAGAACCTGCTAAAGTTGTTGGCTTGCCTGCATTTCTGTGCCAAGCTTGCTGTGATGCTCCATGTAAATAAACTCAGATCTTTGCCAGTGACAACAAACATGCCTCTTTTTCTCTGCTCTGGGATGTCTCCTTGTGTTTACCCAGGGGAAAAAGTTTGAAATCCAACCAGATGGTTTGCCCTCTGCCCGGAAGCTGGTGTACTATACGGGTTGCCCATTCCGGTCACGACACTTGCTGCAGCTCCTGAGCAACAGCCACCGACTCTTTCTCAACGTCCAGCCAGTGCTGAAGCAGATCCAAAAGCTGGAGGAGGTAGAAGGTACGAGATGGGGAGCAGACTCATTTGCGGGAGGGGAAAGGGCAAGGAAGGCAGGCAGGTGGGCTTGGTACGGTTACTTAATAGCGGCTTATTTACAGCTTCTCTCTGACTTACGAACTGGTTACGGACCAAGCAATTGGTCGTAACTCGGTTTGTTTGGAAGTTGGACCCCATTGAGTTACATGCGACCATGCTGTTCGTAAGCACAGATCGTGTTCGTAACTCGGGGTCTGCCATTTATGACCGCTTTGGTCGTAACTGCGAATGGTTGTAAGTCAACTGTTCGCAACTCGGGGACCAGCTGTATTAGTTTTTTCTGAAAATGAAGATGAGGAAGTGGGGAAGGGTCAGGTTTGTTCCTATTGGTTAGTATACATGGTTATGTCTCCCACTGCGTGACTTGGGTTTTCTCTCACTAGTGACTGTGTTCAGAAAACAAGGGGAGATTTCCTCCTTTCCTAAAGCCAGTGATTCTTGCTCATTCTTTCAACTCACTTGACCTTTTCCCCCCCAGGCACTAAGGCCACAGCTGGCCTTTGCTCCGGGATGGCAAACTTGGTGGATGCTTATGATTCCCATTATGTATCTTGACAGTTGAACTCTCCAACACAAACTTGTGAACGTGAGGGTAGAACAATGTGGGGGGAGAGTACTGTCACCTGATTTTAGTCCGTAGGAAAGCTGTGTGATATCTAGAGCTGTGGGCATTGGACTAAGTTCAACAATAATGTGGAGAAGACTATATCCTTTCACATAATAGGTGGAGCAGGGACATAGTTATTTTTGGGTGCAATTTAACATCTACATTAAGGACATTAGTTTTCCTTACAAGCAATGCACTAAGTCAATTCATTTCAAGTGTGCCTGCTTGTAAAAAATGGGAGCAACCCAGATACTTACTTGGTCGTCTGTCTGATTCAGGTTCCCTTTTTCTGCCACAGCCTTCCTTCTTACTTTTTGAGTTTGCTTTCCTCTTTCTTCCACTAATCAGTTATGCAATAAGTGCAGCGTTATACAGCGCTGATCACTAGTGACAGGTTTGAAGTGACCAGCATGCCTATAGGGTATAGGGGTGTGCAGAAGAAGAAAGATGGGTTGGGTAGGGGTGGGGAGGGTCTAACCAGTAAAAGGAATGAAATATGCAAGCGCATAGAGGGTTTAGCAGTGAATCACTAAAGAGGCTGGCTTAAATGAAACACAGCTTTGTGGTGTATTGTTCCCATACTGTGCCAGACTCCACAAATCCTTGGAAGGAAGGTGGATTAGAGCTGGCTTTAGCGTTTGCTGAGTCCCAACCTGAGACTGGGGGGGTATGGGCCACATGTGCTCTTTTTTTCCATTCTTTTTAGTTGAGTTGTTTTGCTGTCTGACTTTCTAACTTTGGGGTAGGGAGATGAAATCTGCATGGCCCAGGAAATGAAATCTGCATGGGGACTTGAAGCCAGTTAGCTGAGCAGTCACCGTCAGTGCTTGGTCCAGTTCCTAGCTGCACACAGTATCCCCTGTCACTTAATCTCCTGGTGCTACTGTTCCTCACCTGTAAAATAGAGGGAAGTACATGCCATATGTCTGTTGTAAGGATGTTTGTAAAGTGTGCAGATACTGGTGATGAGGGGGTGGGCTCTCTAAATACAATAGGTAGAGGCATGGGGAGGCACTGGGAAAGATGGTTGAGACTTCCTGATTTGGAACTGATTGCATAGTGGCTTGGTCATAGCTCACAGCAGCCCTGAGGCTGCCCTAAAATGTGCCAGCTGACCCTTGTCTCCAGGAGAGGGGGAGCACAGCGTGAATCCACTGCTGTTTCCTGTCTCCTACATGAGGGAGCCTTGCCTAGACCTAGTTGGGTGTCTGCTTCTTAACATCACTATTTTAGCCACCGTGACAGTCTGGTGGGGGGAAGGGGAGGAAAGTCCAGACCAGTGAGAGTTTGTCCCCATTTGCCCTACAAGTCAGGGTGTCTGTCAGTGCCTTGCTACTGTACCAGCCAGACTGGGATATTCAGTCAGCAAGTAGTATCCACAGCCACAGAACTGAGGTTCCGTGGCTGTGGACACTTACATACACAAAGCATCACGGATCTGCAACCCCACTTTGAAAACCACTGTGTAGAGAGATGCCAAGTCAAAGAAACAGTTTTAAAGGACACCTCACTAGAAAGAGAAAAGCACACATCTAAAGGTTCTTAAACTTACTGTAGCCAGGTCTTTTTTTTTTCTAACCCATATTTATTTCCCAGAGACTTCAACCATCCTTAGTTGAAGGATCCATCTTTCTCAGCTCACAAGAGCGCTGTTCCCTAGTCTGTCATGTGATGGGTTCAGACGATGGGCTTCTTTCTGTTCTTATCTCTTCCAAAGCTCAACAAATTTGTTTCAAGAGGTGGGATGACCTCATGCTGTTTTTCCCTTCCTGTGGGCTTCCCTTTCTCCTGCTGACTTCTGTGTAAATGGAGCTCCCATTGCTTCTGGTCACCTCCTCCTTAATGTAGGAAGCAGATGGTAAATAGGCCTCCTCCCCCAGACAGGAGAGAAGGCACCTTTCTCCCTGTTTTTTAAATGTGTCCACAACTATCAAGAATCCAAATTTTTGCATATAGTATCATTGCATAGGTTTGACAATGTTATTCACCAGCATGTTCTTAGCTTTCAGAAAAGACCTTGCTGGTACACTTTTTAATAATCCAGTAATGGTATATAGTCAGTTGGTTCAGTTGCTTATCGCTTGGGGGTCAGCCTGCTGTAAACAGTAAATCTTTTAAATGGATTCTTGGGAAAGGAAAACCCAAACCTGGTTTTTTTTTGTCCTGCTGGGTGCAGGTGCTATGCTGCCTTCTTTCCCACTTATTAGAAGTTTGCCTTTCTTAGCTTACTACAGGAGTGGGGAACCTTTTTTGAGTCGGGGGGGCCACTGACCCATAGAATAATTAGTTGAGGGCCACATGCAAGTGAGAAACCAAAAAAATTAATCAAACACCCACTGACGTGACCCCTAACTGAGGAGGAGACACCCTCCCCATGTTCCCTTCATACCCCAGAGTCTAGAAGGGTCCAACCTAGTAGATTTTGTGCACTCCAGCCCCGCAGTGGGTGCTGGGTCCCTGAGCCTTGGGAGCCACATCTGGACTCTGGGCCTGAGGTTCCCCACCCCTGGCTTAACTGATCTGTTAAATGCAGTAGATGAGCACGTTCTCCTTTTTTCACAGTACTTTGTAATAGATGAAGGAGCTGTGTTTTTTCCCCACCTGGGAGTTGCTTCCAGACCAGTTTACCAGCCCCCTGGCACATCTGGGTAAAACCTAATCATTCCAGCATATGTCATCACTCTTAAACGGAGCACACATTCATCATGGGAGAATATTATTGACCAGTGAGTTATTACCACATAATCGAAGATTAGGGTTGGAAGAGACCTCAGGAGGACACCTAGTCCAACCCTCTGCTTGCAGCAGGACTATCCTCAGCTAAAAATTGTAGCCAGGGCTTTGTAACACCGGACTTTTAAAAACCTCTAAGGATGGAGATTCTATCCCTTCCCCCCCCCCCCCCCCCAGCTTTGTCATCTATGAACTTGCTGAGGGTATAAACTACCCCATGAGTCATATAATTTTTGATGTTCAACAAAACTGGTCCCAGGACTGATTCATGGGATACTTTGCTTGATACCGGCTGCCAGTTTAGGGATATGAATAATTAACTGGTAAACCTGACACTTAATGGTTAAGGCTTACCAGTTGTGGTTAACAGGTGGGGTATGGGGGTGTGTGGCTGGGTGGGATGTGCAGTGTCCATAGCTCCTGGGGAGCCAGATACTCCACACTGCAGGCTCTGAATTATAAGCCTTATACTGCAGAGTCCACAGTTCAGGGCCAGCAGCTGGGAGCCAATGTATGCTGGGAGCTGGCTTGTACTGTAAGTCACAGCATGGGGCTGCCATCTCCCCAGGAGCGGGGCCAGTAGTCGGGAGCCAGCATGCACCTGCAGGGCAGAGTTTAACCAGTAACTGTTAATCGATTAAACTGCATCCCTACTATTGATTTCTACTCGTTGAGCTTGACTGACAGTCCAGCTTTCTATTCACCTTACAGTCCATTCATTCAGGCCATTCTTTAATTTGCTGGCAAGAATACTTCCACTGCTTTCCCATTAGCCACAGAGCCAATTACATCATAGAAGGCAGTCAGGTTGCTCAGACATGACTTGACCTTCGTGATTTCTTCACCTTTCAGTCCATTTATCCAATCCATACATCTTTAAGTTGGTTGCAAGAATACTGTGGGAGATCATATAAAAAACTTTGCTAAAGTAAAGATATATCATGTCCACTGTTTCCCTCATAGTCACAGAGCCAGTTGTCTCATCATGGAAGGCAATTAGATTGGTCCAACATGACTTGCTCTTAGTAAATCCATGTTGACTGTTCCTGATCACCTTCCTCTCATCCAAGTGTTTCAAAATGGATTCTTTGAGGACCTGTCCATGATTTTTCCAGGGACTGAGGTGAGGCTGACCAGTCTTTAGTTCCCTGTATCCTCCTCCTTTGCCCTCTTTGAAGATGGACACTACATTTGCCTTTTTCCAGTCTTTGGGGACCTTCTCCGAACAATGGCCAGTGGCTCTGAAATCCCATCAGCCAACTTTCTCAGCACCCTTAGTTGTATTAGTTCTGGCCCCATGGTCTTGTGCATGTCCAACTTTTCTTCACCTGTTTTCTCCACTGAAGACTTGCCACCTCCTCCTCTTCCTGTGCTGCCCAGTGCAGCAGCGTAGGAGCTGACTTTGCCGTTGAAGACAGCGACACCTCTCTTCCCCCCCCCCCCCCAAAAAGCATTGAGTACTTGAGCTTTTTCCACATCATAATCTGTCACTAGGTGGCCTTCCCCATTTAGTAAAGGTCCCACACTTCCCTGACCACCACCTTATTGCTATCTTACCTGTAGAAACCCTTCGTGTGGTTCTTTACATCCTTTTCTAGCTACAACTTCAGTTGCACTTTGGCCTTCCTGATTACACCCATGCATGCTCAAGCAATTGTTTTTATTCTCTGCTCTCAACATCTGTCCACCTTTCCATTTCCCGTGAGCTTCCTTTTTGTGTTTAAGCTCACTTGAAGATCTCTGTTATGGCAGGTGACCAGCATGGCTTATCTGCTATTCTTTTTGCACATTGGGATGGTTTGTTCCTGCACCCTTAATAAGGCTTCTATAAAATACAGCCAGTTTTCTTGGACTTCTTTCCTCTTTATATTGGCTTCCTGGTGGATTCTGCTCCTTGGTTCCCTGAGGGAGTCATTTTGCTTTCCAGTCTGTATTCTGTTGCTTTCCTTTTATTCCTTTTGTCAAGATCCTAAACTCAGCCATCTCAACCCTGAGTGTGAGCAGCAGGTAAGAGGACCAGCATATGCACCAGGAAGTTGCCCTCAAAACTCCCCAAAACTTCCTGGATTGTGCATTGCTGTATTGCTCTCAGCAGATGCCAGGCTGATTGAAATCCCCCATGAGAACCAGAGCCTTTGATCTGCAAACTTCTTTTAGTTATCTGAAGAACACCTCATTTACTTCGTCTTCCTGGTCAGGTGGTCTGTAGCAAATGCCCATCGCAACATCACCCTTTATAGACGAGCATAACAATCTTGATCCAGACACACTCAACGATACCTCTCCCAGCATATTTTCTACAAAGATGATTGATAGTGTGTAAGTATAGAGTGCTTGGTGTGTCAGCCACTCAAGCCCTCTCCTCTGGGCTATGTCATCTCTGTTTTTGCCTTGCAAGTTAACAATAGGTGCACCTTAGTCTTCGAACACCTTTGAAGCATTGCCCTGTGATTCCCAGCCCCAACACTGCTGAAAATAGAGGTTTTTACTAGAAACAAGAGTGTGGTGGGAAACAAATGATAAATTGCAGTGGTGAAGTAGGTTGTGGAGCTGGCTGGTGTCATAGGAATTGGGATTCAGTTTTCTTCAGAGCATGGATTCACAGTGCCTCAATTCTCTGTTACACTGAAGCAGGTTTTTGTCTTTACTCAGAGGAAGGGTCTCTGGTCTGTCTCCATTGGCTTTCCTTTGAATGTCTTGGAGCAAGGCCAATCAGTTGAGCATCGCATTGCTTATTGCCTAACCAGGGGTGGGGGACACCTCTTTCCTGTCTGAATGGGCCATCATGAGACCTATTATTCCCTGGTGACTAACTTTTACTCCCAGGTCCTAAAGTAGACATGCACTATAGAAATGTAATTCCTTCAGCATTAACCATAAACCAGCAATGAGTATCGGTCTTGACAGGTTGCAGGTTTCTATAGATACCTTAGTTGTTGCGTGTTTGTTTTTTTTTTAATAGCTATCTTGCAGGTCATGTTGGATGTCCGATGTTTGCAAAGGTGAGGGGATCCTTTGCCAAGGAGTCTGTCGCACACCATGGTGTTGCAGACTCATCCCTTCCTCCTGTCCCACCATCTATTCTGTGGATTGATGTAGGAGCTGATGTACATGGGAGGGATCTTTGGCTGAGGAGAACCATTAACTTTTCAGCCCTGTTGGAAAGGGTCTAAAAGAAGGGGATTTGGTCCTGTTTTCTGCTTAATGCTGGCCCTGGGACTGGTCTGTCTGTAGAGCACAAAGCATCTCCCTAGCTCTTGACCAAGTGATCCCAAGGCTTGCTATTGAAACTTGAGGAGAGGCCCAATTAAAATATGTTCCCAGTGGGGACATAGCATCACATTGTCTTCTGCCTACTACATGGGCACAATTCCTTTATGCCCCTACAGTTGCATCCACTCTCCTACCCCCATTTCTTTCAGGTTATGGGCCCTTCCCTATTCAGTGTGCTGAGACCGCAACAGACCCTAGTCCCAAAGACTCAGGACAGTCTCCCTTCTTGAGGGTCCCGCCCCCTTCCTTAAAGTGGTGTGTTTTTTTTTTTTTTTTTTTTCCTCCACAGCAGGAAGCACAGTGAAGAGAATTGATGGCTTACAGGACCTCTGTTTGGATTTAATTTCTTGTGTATCCAATTGATGCCTTTCCCCTCTCTGTAGAGAAGAAGCGTTACCGGGAGTCCTACATCAGTGACACTCTGGAGATGGACCTTGACCCCTCGGATAAGCACTCCCATGGCAGTGGAAGCAGTGGGGGCAGCCAGAGAGTCAATCGACTATCTCGCCAGTCAACTGGGAGCCACGGTAGCTCTCACACATCTGGCATTGAAGCTGATTCGAGGCACAGGATGTCAGTGGAGATGTCAGTGGATGAGCCTTTCAGTATCGAGCGAGTTCACCGGAAGGAGAAGTCTTGTAGCTCAACTGTTAGCTGTGGCAGCTCAGGCATTGACAGTGGTGGTAAAGGGAGAGTTGAAGAGGACTCTCAGGATGACGGTAAGAAATGGGGAGCATCTAGTGGTTAATATCCCTGGTCTCATGCTGTTGTCATAGAAAGGAGGAGGTAACAGAGCCCCAAATGATTTGCGAGAGTAGAGATGTGACATTAACAACCCTTCTCTCTTTCAGAAGTTGAGCTGGCTGTGGATGACCCTGTAGAGAGAAACCAGTTGGAGGAGGCAGCTGAAGGAGAGTGTGCCAGTCCTCTTGCTTTAGATGCACTTTGTTGTCAAGGTGAGATGGCTTTTCTGCAATTTTTCCAGGCTCCCCTTAAGGTTGCATGTGGCTTCGCAGAGGTGTGGCAAGCGCAGAATCATCGGGAAGGAATTCAGAGCAGGAGGGTTGGGAATTGGCTTCCTCTGTTTAACAATTCATTTGTCACTTTGGAAGCCAGGTTGTCTTGAAGTGAAATGCAAGCATGCTATATTGTCTGTCCTCCTTAATAGTCTCTTCCCCCCCCTTTCCCCCCCACCCATCTGAGATTATTTTAATTGGTTTATGTACCGTATATACTCGAGTATAAGCCGAGTTTTTCAGCACAGTTTTTGTGCTGAAAAATGCCCCCCTCGGCTTATACTCGAGTCAGAGAACTGAGGCGGGCAAAGCCTCAGAGGCGCGGGCCCCCCCCGCGGCTGCGGCTTCAGTCCGGGAGCCTGTGGTCTGCTGGGGACGGTCCCCAGCAGACCACAGGCACCCAGATTGAAGCGGCAGCAGCGGCGGTTCCCCGCGCCTCTGAGGCTTTGCTCTGGCAAAGCCTCAGAGGCGCGGGACCCCCCCGCGGCTGCGGCTTCAGTCCGGGTGCCAGTTCCGACTTACATACAGATTCAACTTAAGAACAAACCTACAGTCCCTATCTTGTACGTAACCC